AATCCGATCTTGGTGATCCTTCCTGGAACGAGGAGGACGTCTCTTAGTTATATGGTTCTCTTAAAAACATCCCTCCAGTTTGTTATAGTCTTTCTCTCATTTGCTGGTAATTATTTGAAAATAACTCAATATTCCCACTTGAATGCCATGTTTTGCCATTCAAATAAAATTTTCTGTCCTAAAATAGGGTGCTCTGTGGCAAGCAGGAATTGTTCCTTGACGTTGTCTTGTTCACCATAGGCTCTTCAGTTTCAAAGCCACATCCAAAGACAAAAACTCTAAATGAGTTTTTCCTGGAATTTGGAAGCACATTGCTGCATCCTCTTGAATCTGTTGATTTTGTTTTCCTCCTATGAGAAGAAAACATATAAAGTTGCTGGTGGTAAAATATAGTTATTACTCCTGGATGTTTTCATTAAGGAGGTTTCTGGGTAAACCCCAAGTTCACCCAGCTGTGATTGAGTACCTAAATTTACAGTTGGTAAAGTGAAGGTGGTCAAGTGCAGTGCCGGCCAAACTGCACCTTTGTGTACCTAAAACAGGGTTATTTTAAATCTATAAATATAGATGAAGGAACTATTACTCCTGCATGTCAGTGTACTTGCCTTGGAGTATGTCACACGATATGTAGATGGCGCTGATCTAACAGAGAGTTCTGCTGCGTGTCGGTTTTGTTTAAATTGTGAAGAAGACTACGGCATGTTCAACCTGTCAAATGTGTATAATGATGGCGAAGACTGTCATGTGTGGCAAAGACAAGAGGAATTGCAACCAACGGAAATTTTATCTTTTTCCCAAAGATAAAAAAGGTAAGTTAACAGTTATACGCAAATATATTGTGATAATTAAGTTATATACTGTGCTGGCTTATATTCGTTTTCTCACATGACCTGGAAATACACCGTGAAAAAAAATCAGGGCACAGATTCACTAATGGGTTACGAACATCAAATTGCTTAAGAATTCATCATTTGCGATGGTGATTCACTGAAGACTTACGAAGTCCACAACTCGATTTAAAATGGCTGACTTTCCTTTGTAACTTACATCACTCTGGAGGTCTCGTAAGCTACTGCAAGGTGGAAATAAGGCCATTTTTTTACAACCCGTACCAAAACACACAGCTGGCAGTATATATATATATATATATATATATATATATATATATATATATATATATATATATATATATATATATATATATTTTTTTTTTACAACACCCTTACGTATGTGTGTGTTTTGGTATGGGTTGTAGAGAAAACGGCCTTATTTCCACCTTGTAGTAGCTTACGAGACCTCCAGAGTGATGTAAGTTACAAAGGAAAGTCAGCCATTTTAAATCGAGTTGTGGACTTCGTAAGTCTTTAGTGAATCACCATCGCAAATGATGAACTCTTAAGCACTTACGATGTTCTTAGCCCGTTAGTGAATCTGCTCCCAGATCTTACGGCAGTTATAAAATTCGTATCTCGGCAGTGTTTTTGAATTTGGGTCCAGTTTTCATGCCAAAGTCCAGGTCATATTCGAAAACAAATGACTTCACACTGCTGTGCTAAATATAACGTTTTGAAAGATAAAACATTGAAACAGCTCAATACATCTAATGTACTGTACAGTCAATGGACATCATGTTTGCACAGTTGTCCCAGCAGGTGGTATATATTAAAATTTACTCCCCAACTATACCTTTAAAATGTACCTGTTATCTGAACCTATGTGAATGAGAATTTAATGTTAACAATATTTGGATTTTTAAGTTGTTTCTTTGTATTCCTATCAAGGATATTTAAATAAAATTCTAATACTGTAATTACTTTTGTTTTTGCATTATCATTGTCACTATTATGATCATAACTAGATAAAACATCTTTATTTGCAGATAACAATTACAACTGGGCCCTAACCGTCGAGTTCCACCTAGATGCTAGATGATATCTGTATCTAACCATGTCATAATAAATGTACATTATACTTATGCTAAGGAATCTACAACTGAAGGTTGAGATTCAGTGAGTTTTGCTTTTTATTGCCTTTCTAAAGTGTGACAAATCCTGATGATAAGTAAAATGGAAGAATATTATGTAAATCTGTAAATGTAGTTTCATTTAGGTAAGAAGTAAGTTTAAATTTGTCAGAACCTATTGAATGTGATATTAAGTAGGGGCTGTATATGTACAAGTTATGAAGTTAAGTTCAAATTCATTGCAAAATGTTGGTGGGTTGGCATATTAGTAACCCTGAACTAAGACATGTCTGCCCTCCATCTTGTCGCATAAAGACGAGACTGATCTTCGTTGGGAAATAAAAATGCTGAACATTAAGGTGTGTATCGAACACAGGTGTTAGTAGGGATAGCTGTGTAAGAACATTGATGAAGTGTCAGGCCTGCTGTTTTGCTAAATCAGCTGACCTTGGCTCGACCCTTGAGAGATGCCAGCCAAGTGATCTAGAGTCGTGAATAACATGGTGAATCACTTGGTGTTATTCATTTGGGTGCATATTTATATAAAGCAAAGGTGCTATTACACTGCTCAAAAGATTTTACTTGTTTTAGATAAACGGAGAGGAAATGTTAGGACTCCTGTTATGTTTAAATATTGGCCTGATACTCCTGAGAGATCGACATCCGTTTGCCAATTGTTGTGGGGAGACCATTGCTTTAATTCTGTATACAACACGAACGAGGTAGCATTATCCATGCCCACGTATCTATGTGTGAGGACAACATGTTGTTACTTACACTCGACACTTCCACTTTGTTTAACATTGCTAGTGTTTGACGTGGCACAGCTATTCCCCGGAGGGCTTCTGAAAATTGCAGTCTTGGTACGACTTGCATTCTTGGTACTCCTGCACGTGTTGGCGCAGAGTAAACCAATACTCTGAATTATGTGATCTGGATTGATGTAGTATACACCATTTGTGCCAATAACTACATTTGAATATGACCTTGGCATTTAATTTTTATTTTTATTTTGAAACTTGATTTTTTAGGGGGAGGGGGGAGGAAGTTGTTTTGCTGATAGGCGTTAATGTCTGGTTTGGCATAGAAACAATTCACAGTCGCATGTCACTTTCTTGCAAATTTTGAAAACAGGGTTTTATTTAGGCTTGGTACCTGTTTCCTTTTGGACCTCACCTGGTACTATTGTGACGGGTGCAATGGGTCTGGGCAAAGGTATGGAGAGGGCCGTATACACTATTTCCTATGCATAGTCCTCTACACCGTCTGTCATTTTTAATTGTTCTCTCTTGGCTTGGTTTTATTCCATATCGTAGAAGAAACACAAACTGCATGTACACTGATTAAATTGTTCACGCGATTGTAACTCATTTTACTGTCCACATCAAACCAATCAGGAGCAACCATCTGTGTACTCACATCCGCGAGTGTTTCCTGCCACAGCCTGGGCCATGTTCATACAATATATTGGGTACAGAAAAGTGACACTATGCATTCTGCCATTCGGAATATCCACGTTAGCTGACTGCCGCCTGTGTCTTTATCAAAGAAACTTTTTTTTTGACGGGATTAGCCCACCAGGGCACAGGTCAGTGACCCACATCAGGGCCTGCGGACGAAAATATAATACTACTAATAATATTTATAATAATAAACGACCACAAAAAAAAAAAAAAAAAAAGATCAATAGTGAAAACCGATATATGTATGATGTGTTGTCAAAGTAAGAGAAACAATTGAGGTGCTCTGTATTAGAAGGGGGTGAAGTGACACCTCGGCCAAAATGCGTTTTTTGATGGATATCACTATTTTCACCCTTCCTCTACATAGAAAGTAGAAAGTCCTTCAAAAAATAAGGTGTGATTTCGCCTCGGTCCGGGAGCAACGTATCTGGCTGTGCGCTCAGTCAAAGAAGGCGGCAACATCCCGTTCAGGCGAGAGGAGTGCAATTAACAGTGTGCCTCCCTCGGACCATACCCGCTGAGGCAGCCAATCACAATGGATTTCCCCTTGCTACTCCACAGCTCCTCGGCCAATCCGCAAGCCCAGATGTTGCCTCATTAGTTTGGGCGCATAAGGAGGTTCAGTGTACGTTCTACTGCTATTTTTTATAACTTTTTGGCGTAACACTGACGTTATTCGTGTTTCACGGGTGTGAGAAGTGCTGTGCAATATCTGCCCTATATTAGAGCAAGACTTGAGTGAGGCCAGGCCTTCTGGTGTAGGTTCAGGAGCCCATTATTCCTGAGCGTGTGTTTCGTGATGCCAGTGCTCACGTGGACACCCCAGTAATGCTTGGTGATAGTGATTTTGGTGGTGAATTTAGTGATGTAGTGGCAAATTTCCTTCAGCATATTCGCTGTGGGATCCCGTATTTCGTCATGTTTCATGCATACGAAGCCACCCTTCTTGCACACCATGGCGTGGTTGATATCGTAGGATGATCCACACACGCATTGGGTGGGCATACTTTCTACTGGCCAACCATACCTTAGAGCAATGGCATCTGTAAATTCTTGTTTGTTAAATCTAAATACCTTTGCTCTTAACCCTTAAAGGTCTGATGTTATTCCAGGGCGACCGGGATAGTAGGGGTCTGCATATTTACATTTATATTATTCTAAGTTTTTTATTCCCACTTGATTTTTTCCTTGCATTTAAATTTTTTTTTCGTTTCTAAGTGAAGAAATTTACAGGTTTGAGTGTTTATTTGATGTGACTTGAAAGAATGTTTACAATTTGGATAATTAATCTGCAAGTATTTAAGAGTTAAGATAAAGTATAAATTTTACAGAGAGAGAGAGAGAGAGAGAGAGAGAGAGAGAGAGAGAGAGAGAGAGAGATTCAATCACTGGGTATATTTCTCTCAGAGACTTTACACTAGACCACTTTTCTCTCCAAGAATACCTGATATACAAATGAATTCATAGATTTCTTTTGTACTCCCAAATTCACAATAACAAATAATATGTATCCATATTAAACCTATTATTTCTACCATTAATGACAAAACAGTATTAGGCAAGTCAATAAGGTATTTCGTTTTTATATATAAAATTTATTTCGATATTCGTGATATGTATATAGACAATGGAAGTCAATCAGGTGATGCAGTGGGTACTCAAGAAGCTTTGCCGTGCCATATTCTGTAAGTGTTGCTGACGTGCATTTAAACTTTCCTTGGTGGAAGCTTTCTTGGTTTGGTGAGGTCGTTTATTTCCCGTATCCGTAGCCGCCACCATGGCCGCCACCATAACCACCACCATGGCCGCCACCATAACCACCACCATGGCCGCCACCATAACCATATCCACCTCTTGGACCTGCTAGGTTAAAGTTGTTATTAGATGTTCCGCCAACGCCGCCATAACCTCCACCATGTCCACCTCCGTATCCACCCCTGTAGCCTCCATATCCACCTCCGTAACCTCCATAACCTCCTCCATAGCTACCAAAACCACCTCCGTAACCACCCCTGTGTCCACCACCGTGTCCACCTGCCTGGTTTAGGGTAGCCAGAGTGGCTACGACGACCAGTGACAACAACAACTTCTGAAAGTAGGAGAAGATTATAACTATAGTTCTCCTCTGAGTTTGTACCAGTGAACCTTACAAAATCGGACTCCAAGACTAATTACAATTGTTAGTAGAATAAGACTGGGTAATTAGATGGAAAATAATGACTTCAGTCATATGTTTTTTCTGGGTGAAAAAATCAAGGCCTGTATTATATATTATTATTATTATTATTATTATAATTATTATTATTGTTGTTATTATTATTATTATTATTATTATTATTATTATTATTATTATTATTATTATTATTATTATTATTATTATTATTATTAGTGGTAATGGTGGTAAAATTAGTAGTATTTCTAGAATACTTGTAATTTGTATAAATATTAAAATTCTAGTACGTAATTTTTAAAAAGCTTCAGAACCTTACCATCTTAGCGTCTGTGCTGGCTGCTGGGGAGTAAGTGCTGAGACCTTATTGACACCTTGTATATATACACCCGCACCTCCCTTCTGTCAACTCACTCCAGGTGACAATTGACGAGGTGAAACATTTGACAATTGGACCTATCGAAGGAAAAAAAAAAATTTTGTACACTACATTTTTGAGTGCACTGTGTTGGTCGTGTTTGTTTTCAATAAAGTCAGATGTATATACAGGTAAAAATCTGGTAAAATATTTAAGATTTTTGGAATAGCAAGTGTACTCGTATGTACTCTGGTTGATTAATATCTCGTGACTGTATATTTCATTTGCAAAATAAACTGAAAGGGAGAGAGTGGAGGGTGTGACTCTTTAACAGTTCCTTGACCTAAATAATTTTTTTTCAAACCGAAAAAATTGTATCATTCGTCATCAGCGACCTTTTAGCTGTACCTCTCTCAGCGAACCTCCTTCAGTCTCTCTGTTCAGCTGTTTGTTACACTTTGAAAAGTTATAATTGCCTTTGCAGATTTGTTTTAGTATTTCTACACATGTATAATTCTCTTCACTCTTTTATACTTTTAATGCCGTTCACACACACACACACACACACACACACACATACACACACACTTTTACTTTATTCTAGCAGGTATAAAATTTCATTATATTTAATTCCCTGAACACTCGCCTTGATTTGATAATTTAATAAATAATTCAAGAGTAAAAAACCAAACCTAATTCAGGAAAAGTATTCACGAACTTTGTTTTATCTAAAGACTTACAATACCGTGACATAGTGTTATTGACGACCATCTTTCACTCACTGTTAAACAATAGAACCGAGTGTTAAGAATTGATAATAAAACAATAGTCCAGTATACAGTATATGTTTATTTTATTCCCGGTTGTGATAGAGTTTAACATTATATGATTTTGATAGAGTTTAATATTATGTGATTTTATTTTTCCTGGATTATGATTGCTTGTTGATAGAAATTATATAGTCGTTATATATCTTTAGTTCGGCGTTATCTTGTGTGTGTGTGTGTGTGTGTGTGTGTGTGTGTGTGTGTGTGTGTGTGTGTGTGTGTGTGTTCAATTAATAATAATGATGAATGAATCAATCGGAGTACCGTCCTTCTATCTGAGGGTTAGCGACCACAGTCCTCCACTCTAAACGTGTTTGGGTTGTTTTTATTAATCCTCTCAGATTTTGTATCTCTCTGGGAACCCAGTTTTTAATGTCATTCATCCATCCCAGTCTCTGCCTTCTAATTAATATTTCTGTTATTATCCCCTCATCCCTAATTATTTGACCAAAGTATCTCATTTTTCTTTGTCTGTACTTTCAAAATATTTCTCTAGAAGTTTTTGCTAACCTTTGTAATTCTTCATTTGTTTTCCTGTCAGTGTAAATTATTCTTTAACATTCGCCTATAACACCACAATTCAAATACTACTACTACTACTATTACTATTACTAATTATTAACAATTTATTGAAAAAAAAAACATGGCAGCGAAAGGGCTGAAAGTACTGTCTTCAGAGATGGGAAAAGTTACAGAATTAGGGAATGGGTCACTAGATTGATAAGTGATATACAGGTGACATAAATGGTACAGATGTACTTTTTTTTTTTAAGGGCATTAGCCCACCCGGGCACAGGTCAAATACCCACACCATGGCCTGGGAGGGGGGGGGGGCGAAGATTAATAATAATAATAGCAATAATAATAATAATAAAATTTAAACATGCAAAAAAAAAAGATCAGTAGTGAGAAACGATAGATATACTGTAAGCTGTGTTGTCAATGTAAGAGAAACAATTAAGACACTGCAATTGTGTGTAAATGAGGCAGAAAGTCAGATTAGCAACCTGGGACTTGGTCACAATTTTTTGTGAGGCCAAATGGCAGCAGGGTCAACCATTAGACAACACATTATGCTTCCAGTATCTTTCCAGGCGTTACCGGGTATATAATAACACAGGGGGAGAAGGGTCATTTAACAAACAAATTCAGACAAAGTAAAAATACAAAAGTGCTGTGTGTGAGCGCGTGTGCGTGCTGGCGTGCAGGTTTGCTGGCGTGAGTGCGGGTGTGCAGACTTGCTGGCGTGCGTGCGTGCGGACATGCGTGCATGCAGGCATGCGTGCATACGCGCGTGCGCTTTATATTTCACATTTACTTAATGTTGACCACATTCATTTGGCTAAATAAGTAAATTTTTATAAAACGTTTTTAAGAAGCATAACTAACACCGAAATAAGTAATTCATTATAGTGCGTCTTTTGTTGTAAAATTCAGTATGGAACAGTTTTAAAACCCTGAAAACCTTTAAGAAATTCAGGTGAGATGTGTACCATTGAAACACACCCGAATATTTGTACATATCTAAAGTCATGGGCCCCTAAATAAAATACAAACGTCTTCTCTACACAAGTACACACTCGAATTCCCAAAATGTATCATGCAATCATTAAGCCCCAGTAAAAAAACAAAACAAAACAAACTTATATTAACATTAATGAAACTAAAATACCTTCCATTTTGACGATTCAAATAGTCAAGTACGATGATTTTACCTCTTGAGTACGATGTTTTATTCAATGGGTTAAGTCATCTTACTGAAGGGGTCAAAGACCTTAGTTGTTGAGACACAGACGGTTTTACCATATATAAGGAGATATATTTTTGTGGATTTTTATTGCTAAGTTTGGAAATTATTATACAGTAACACCCTTTCAGTAACAGACATCTTAGTAAAGTGATAGATACAGTAACCCTCTCAAGAGCGGACTTCTCATTAGCGGATATACCTCCAATAATGGACAAGGTTTGCAAGAATTAGTCTGATATTGGGAGGGTTTACTGTACACTACTTGAGAGAAAGTTGTAAAAATACACAGATTTTATTTACTTATTTTATTATTTTTGTTTAATACTCAGGAAATTATTGTGTTTTTGGGGGGTAAAATAAACTTACAAGTATATAAATAATTTTATTATTATCATCTCTGTACACGAGAGACATCAATAGTCGTTATGTGGTGTCGTTGGGAGTCTGGATGTTGTTGTCGTTGCCTTACTTAAGTTCCCTCAAGTGTTATGAGTTGTTTACTTTCCATAGCCGCCATGACCACCGAAGCCAAAGCCACCGTGGCCTCCATGGCCGCCGAAACCAAAGCCGCCATGTCCACCATGGCCATATCCACCAAAGTGTCCACCATGACCAAATCCACCGTGTCCGCCATGACCAAACCCACCGTGTCCTCCGTGTCCACCATGGCCATGTCCATATCCACCTCTTGGACCAGCGAGGTTAAAGTTGTTGGTAGATACTCCACCTACACCCCCGTAGCCTCCACCGTGTCCACCACCATGCCCGTAGCCTCCACCGTGTCCACCGGCCTGGCAGAGGGTCGCCATGACGGCTACGCCCATCAGTGCAAAAATCGACTTCTGCGAATCACAAAACACGATCAAATTATTTCACCTTAAAAACTGTAGAAAAGAAACAGCTTTTGGATCGAAGTTGAAAGTCTTTAAATTATATTATATGATATAGAAGGGAAAGAAGTTAGTACTTGTATAAACATTTTTAACATTTTGAAAGAGATTTAGACTGCCATTAACATATATTCTTTAATGACTCCTGCAGGTGAGAAACGTATGAGGTGTTATAACAAATACGCAATCTAAGAGATAAATGTCTTAAACCAAGCGTTATTGTTTCAATAAAGGATTTAAAGCACAAATTCAAACCTTAGTAATAATCCAAATATATATTTTTTTAAGAAATGTTGGTAAAATTATTCATATTAGAAATATAGAATATATTTTTAAAGACTGTTAGTTGGGAGAACTTACCATGGTGTGTAGTAAGCAAGATCCGCAAGGTAAACTGACTAGCCTGGCTAAACTCGACTCTTATATACCCAAGTTGTGTAACCATGGAGAAGGTCACATGGAGCTGTGACACCAGAGAACTGATGGCTGGCAAAAATTCCTCTCTGTCATTGTTTTTTTATTATGGGTATACATGATAGACACATATGCTAGATAATTCTTTTAACAAAACTTATTCCATATTATTGTATCGTCGACTTTGTTGGGTTCCTCTTGTTACGAAATAATAAGGCTAACTAAACGATTAAAATTGTGAATACCTAACGAAAGACATAGAATAAGCTTGTCGTTATCTAGTATATTTTTGTGGTTTGTGTTTCAACGGTGAGACAGGTTTGTGTCACATGCGAATATTTTTGTGTGTATTATAATATGTTAGTTGATGAAAATGATGCACGTCTGCTCACACGCCCGGGATCATTTGCACACACACACACACACACACACACACACACACACACACACACACACACACACACACACACACCTCTTTTCGAGTAGGTAAATAATTTCATAGTATTTAATTCCATAAACACTCACCATGATCTGATAATAATTTAATAAATTTTCAGGAGTCAACATCCATAACTTATTTAGGAAAAGTATTAACGAATATTGTTTTATCCTAAGACTTACAATACCGTGACATCGTGTTATTTATGACCATCTTTCACTTGCTGATAACACTAGACAGGCATCGCTATATTTTGATTAAACCATAGGCATTGTCGGGTATTATTTACCTGACACAAAATAAAAATCAACAAAAATGTTGAAATCAAAATTTATTTATGGAAATTACTTATTGCAGAATGAACCTATCTCCTAAACTGAAATATGAGACATTAAACGGTATAAATAGACTTGAGTGTCAAGAACTGACGATAAAACAATATATTCATTATATCTCGTTTGTGATTAAATTTAAAATTTTATGAATTTTTTGCTGGGTTATGATGATTAGTTGAAAGAAATTATGGAAGTGTTTGTTATTATGCTATATACGGAGTTATCTTTATGTGCGTCTGTTTGTGTGTGTGTGTGTGTGTGTGTGTGTGTGTGTGTGTGCACTTCATATATCAGATATACTTACAACGTTGACCACATTCATTTGCTTAAAGAAGTAAAATTCTATAAGATTTTTTAAGAAGCACAAATAACACCGAAATAAGTTTTTACTTATAGTGCGTCTTTTGTTGTACAATTCAGTATGGAACAGTTTTAAAACCATGAAAACCTTAAGAAATTCAGGTGAGATGTGTACCACTGAAACACACCCAAGTATTTATACATATCCAAAGTCATGGGCCATCAATAAAGTAAAAACCTCTTCTTTATACAAGTAAACGCACGAATTCCCAAACCATAACATGCAATCATTTAGCCCCAGTAAAAGAAAAAAATGACATTAATGAAGCTTAAATACCTTCCATTATGACGATTTAAATAGTCAAGTCCCCAGGCATCCCCCCGGGTTTGGAAACTCTGGTTACGGAAATTCACTCCTACGGATTTTGTAAGCTATGACCAAAAAATTCAGGATAAGGAAAAAAATCGCGCTCACGGAAATTCGGTAAATTTTTAAGTAAATAAATTTTTTCTGTACTATTAGAAAAAAATCACAGAAATTATAAAATTTATTTCGTGTGGATTTCTTGGTGGTTGGTACCAATACAGTACAGGGCGAGGCAGGAGCCAGTAGTGCCCCTACGTCTCCCTCCCAGTAACTCTGATTGCACCACCTTACCTCACCACCTCACCAAACGCAGCACTCAACATCATTTGTGGTAAGTATAATTTCAAGTGTTTTGTTTATTTATTATCATATTATATAATCAATAATCAATGTATGTGTTAAAAAAAAATATATATTTTCATTCATAAATGTGCTTGTATTACGTCTTTTTGTCGAAAAATATTTCCTTGGGAATGCATCTCCAATTATATAATGGAAGTCAATTGGAAAATTGGTTTTGCGTTACGGAATTTCACGTTACTGACAAATTTTCAAGGACACAAACCTTCCGTAACCTGGGGTATGCCTCGATGATTTTACCCCTTGAGTACGATGTTATTCAATGGGTTAAGTCATCTTACTGAAGGGGTTAATGACCTTAGTTGTTGAGACACAGTCGGTTTTACCATATATAAAGAAAGAGATATTTATTTATTTTTTTTGTTTATTGGCACTCCCCTACATCCTTGTGTAAGGTGAAGCACAGAAGCGTTTACAGCGCCCAACAGGGAATCATGCTAAGTTCATGCTTGCCTTTATGTCTCATGAGTTTAGGGCGTAGAAACCTGAATAGTCGAGGGCGTAGAAGCCTGAAGAGTCAGTGGTTTATGTCTAAGCAAGTTATTGGAAGTTATTGGAAGTTCCAACAACTTGTCCCTGAATACGAATTCGCAAGTTTCGAATTACAGCAGGTACCTACTTTGCTGCTAGGTGAACAGGGACGAAGGGGGCTAGGAAGAGTGTCCAAACAACTTCCGCTGGCCCGGGAATCGAACCCTTGACATCTTGCTTGCGAGGCATGAACGGTACCGCTCTACCACCAGCTCCCCAGAGATATTTATGGATTTTTATTGCTAAGTTTGGAAATTATTATAGAGTAAACCCTTTCAGTACCAGACACCTTAATAAAGTGATAGATACACAGTAACCCTCTCAAGAGCGGACTTCTCATTAACGGATATTCTCCCAATAATGGACAAGATTGCAAGAATTAGTCTGATATTGGGAGGGTTTACTGTACACTGTTTTAGAGAAAGTTATAGAAATAAACAGATTTTATATATTTATTTTATTTTTTTGTTTAATATTCAGGAAATTATTGTGTTTTTTGGGGGTAAAATAAAGTAACAAGTATATAAATAATTTTAATAATATCTCTGCACACGAGAGACATCAATAGTCGTTATGTGGTGTCGTTGGGAGTCTGGATGTTGTTGTCGTTGCCTTACTTAAGTTCCCTCAAGTGTTACGAGTTGTTTACTTTCCATAGCCGCCATGACCACCGAAGCCAAAGCCACCGTGACCTCCATGGCCACCGTGACCTCCATGGCCGCCGAAACCAAAGCCGCCATGTCCACCATGGCCATATCCACCACCGTGTCCACCATGACCAAATCCACCGTGTCCTCCGTGTCCACCATGGCCATATCCATATCCACCTCTTGGACCAGCGAGGTTAAAGTTGTTGGTAGATACTCCACCTACACCCCCGTAGCCTCCACCGTGTCCACCACCATGCCCGTAGCCTCCACCGTGTCCACCACCATGTCCATAGCCTCCACCATGTCCACCGGCCTGGCAGAGGGTCGCCATGACGGCTACGCCCATTAGTGCAAAAATCGACTTCTGCGAATCCCAAAACACGATCAAATTATTTCACCTTAAAAATTGTAGAGAAGAAACAGCTTTTGGATCGAAGTCGAAAGTCTTTAAATTATATTATATGATATGATATAGAAGGGAAAGAAGTTAGTGCTTGTATAAACATTTTTTAACGGGGCATTGAAAGAGATTTAGACTGCCAATAACATATATTCTTCAATGACTCCTGCAGGTGAGAAATGTATGAGGTGTTATAACAAATACGCAAATACGTTATTGTTTTAATAAATGATTTAAAGCACAAATTCAAACCTTAGTAATTATCCAAATATATATTTTTTTAAGAAATGTTGGTAAAATTATTCATATAAGAAATATAGAATATTTTTTTAAAGACTGTTAGTTGGGAGAACTTACCATGGTGTGTAGTAAGCAATATCCGCAAGGTACACTGACTAGCCTGGCTAAACTCGACTCTTATATACCCAAGTTGTGTAACCATGGAGAAGGTCACATGGAGCTGCGACACCCGAGAACTGATGGCTGGCAAAAATTCCTGTCTGTCATTGATTTTTTTTCTTGTGGGAATAAATTAGAAATAATACATATAATTGATAATTAAACAAAATCCATTTATCCAAATTTATTAAAAAAATCGTTTAGTAGAGTTTATTTAGGTTCCTTTATTTACTGAATAAAGGCCTAAATAGATGATTGAAATTGCAAATGCTTTAAAGAAAGACGTAAAATTGTCTTGTCGTTATCTGGTCTGTTTTTGTGGTTTGTCTCTTAATGGTAAGGCAGGATTATGACACATACGAATATTTTTGTGTGTATTATAATGTGTCGGTTGATAAAATCATGCACGTCTGCTCACACGCCCAGGATTATATGCACGTATGCACACACCACAGCACACCACACCACACCACACCACAGCACACCACACCACAGCACATCACACGACACAAAACAACACACCACATTAGAATTTTCTCTTGATACCACCATGAAGAAAACCTACAAGAGAATTAAAACAAAAACCACAATAGCTATAATGTATTTACGGTGAAAGGAAAGATATTACAGATAATGATATTCCTTTGGTCGAGAGTAACACAGTAGTGGTATGAACTAACATAGTATTATAACATTATTCAGTAGTCATATTAACACAAAGCTTTTAACAGCTATGTAGAAATGTTTTTAAACCTTTTAGTACTGTACATACATATTTATTCATGCATTTTTAATTTTTTTTATCCATTGGACTGTTGGGTTCCAGTGTAATAATTCAAGATATATGAATCAGCTCTTAATATGGTATACATTTATCATTGTAAAGTATTATTAGTATATTTGTATATGTTTGTGTGCATGTATCAGGAATGTATATGCAAATGATTATATGAATATAGTCCATATATTGGTTATATTTATGTACGCCACTTTAAATTCCCGACCAGGTTTACTTTTTGAATAACATCTCGTAAATGTTAATGGTGGGTCTAAAATCACTCTGCATGATGCGGTCCTTGATACACCTGTCTGTCTCTTAATGCCCTCAAGTGGAGTAGGTGTAAGGTGGTGCCAAGGAGGTGAAGGCCAAGGGAATGACCACTAAAGCCTTTGATGCAGTGAACTGATTAGTCATTGAACGAGTTAATTAGGACGTGAAGGTATCATGACCCCAGGTAATTTTTTTTTCACTCTCATTATCTCTGTTAAAGTCGCTTACTTTTTTTTATTGTTTCTTTTATTTTGACTTTCTCTTTTATTTAATTTTTCTTTCTTTTTATCATTTCTTTCGTATGCCCGTGTGGGTTCTTCCTCTCTCTCTCTCATTATCTCTGTCTTACTGTCTCTTTCTCTTTTGTTGTCTCATTTACTTTGACTTTCTCTCCTGGTTCTCTCTTCCTTTTCTTTTTATCGTACAGCAATTTATTACTCATATCAACACACACAAAAACAATAATTCAGTAATTCCTTTTAATCTTATGTGTACCGTTCTGTTATTCCTCGTAGATAACCATATCCAGGTTCTAGTGTTACGGTGGCCGAGTGCTCATTCTAACTCTTGTCATATCACGTGAAATATTAATTAGAAAATGAATAAAAACTATATATAATGTATCTAATGAATTTTATATATTTTCCAGCTTAGTTCTATTATTACATCAACACAAAGCGGAGATCAAGTTGATAAAATAGTCTGGTAAAAAAGTCTTAGTAGTGTTATTATGTCAACAAAGGGCGGAGGTCTAGTGGGTGGAGCCGCCAGGTGAAATAGATGATAAGCGCGGGCGTTCTTACACTCAGGTGACGTGGGTGACGTGAGGTGGACGTGCACGGCTTGTCAGGTGACGCAGACGAACGTGACCCCGAACATACTTGTGAATGTGTCTAGGAAACATACATACACACGCACACGCAAACACAATTGTGTGTGTGTGTGTGTGTGTGTGTAACTCAACGAAGTCTAAGAGGTATATGATATATTTGGTAGACAACAAACTCTTAGACGTCCTCAGTTGATAATAAATATATTGCCAACTGTTCTAGCAAGACATATTTCACTCGACCTTATAATTATCATAAATTCAGAATAAACAATACGGTTACAGGGAACAAAGACAAGTACAGTTACAGGAAACAAACAAAAATACAGTTATATCATGATCATAAAGACATGCCAACAATGGTATTATTCCACGAGTTCTCAATGAAACCAATTTAATCCTAAAAGAGGACTGACAATTATGAAAGATGAGGACTTAGTGAGAAAATTTGATGGTAATTGATATTAATATTAAATATTGTTTGTGTACTGTTTCAATTGTAGGATCTTTTTCACCTGTTATGTTTTTAACGAATTAATAAAATGCTAAATTCTCTATACCTATTGTTATGTTTGTGTAGCTGTACATGTATTAATATCTGTAACTGTAGTTGTAACTGTACCTATACCTGGACGTTTAAGAATTTATATCATTTAACAAAGATCTCTAGAGGTCATAAATACTAGTCAGAAATAAGTGAGATAAATCAGCAGGTAAATCTACGCAAAGTAACCAGTTCGACCCTCACCTTGAGTTAGGCCAGCTTTCACGATTACGTCTGGGTGGAACAGTCTGGGGATTCGACTCACTCTTTGTGTTATTAATGGACCTGGAAACCGAATTTAGATAGACAGATAGGCACATAGACAGCTTTAGAAGATGAGGTACAACAGAGAGCAGTGAGATATACAGCTGTCTCTGCATCTATAAATCTAGCAATGTCCTAGAAAGATGGATAAGTTATAACCGTATTATTGGATATCGTTGTAATGTATGTATCTTTACCCTGTTTGTGTGTGTGTGTATTATTGGGGTAAAGGAACCGTTTTATAATTCTTGTTAGGTCAGGCCAGTAAGATACGACGGACAGACAAAAGATTGTCTCATTGTTCCATAAATAATATAGTTACTTTCCATTGGGGCTCTTGGGATTATATATAGATATACACGTGCACAATATTCACCCTGCGTAACCAGCACCATATACTGCTACAACACGTACATACTGACACCTACAAAACTCTCACGCAATCAATAAGTTATCCAGGATCATTTCATCACCCGTTGTTACACTTTCACCGAGGGAGGCAGCGTGGCACCACCTGCCTCGGTCACCTCACGGAACAAATCGCTTTCATTGTCCCACCTGAAAGCCAGTATAAAAGCTTTATGTCTCTAGGGCTCAGCAGGCAGTTCAATAGCGACCGTCCCTCGTGATAATCACCCACAATGGTAAGTGGAGAGCCAGGCCTGTAGGGAGTCATTTGACATTTCATTTCGATAAAACAAAATAACTTTACAATTTCCAATCATGAGAAAATACTTAACTAGATTGGTATCGAAGATTAAAAGTTTTTCTAGTTAGAAAAAAATCTGTAAATTATAAACAATATTTGGTTATTAAAAGTTGTGTGGTAGTTTTCAAACTCTTAATATATAGCAATTATGATCTGAGAAAATACTGATGCTTGGCCCGATCTCAAGCGAATTAGTGTACTCTTTTTTAGGAGTTAGCTTAAAGATTCACAGTTGACGTGATACTAGTGATCTTTGCTCCCATAAAATACTGTACAAGTCTCCTGTAAACACACTAACACCAAAATACCGACACGACGACCATGAGCACCTGGGTTGGCACCTGTTAACCTAAGGTAGATACCACAAGCGGAAGTGTAATTAAACGTAAAAATTAATCTGTTGTATCAGGACCTGTAAGTTACACATTCAGATTCAGAAACATGATTTAGAAATATCAGTGTTGATATAGATACAAGTCTAATGTAGAGGTGCAGTAATTCTCATGTGGTGGCAGTACGATAGGATTGGTTTGTTGATAATTTATAAAAGTTTATTAAGGTATCTGTGTACAAGTATAGATTCACGTATAAAGTACAAATACAGTAATTCCTATGTAGCAACAGTATCATGAAGTTACTGTTTTTTAAAGATACAAGAACTTTACTAAGCACTATAAATACAAGTACAGGCTTAGGTGTGTAGTTACAGGTAAAGCACTCTACAGTAATGTCGTTGACGTTATGCTGATATTACTGCGCTCAACATCTAACGTCTGTAAGAGCCTAATTAGGTTTGTATTTACACTAGTTTATCAACAATAATAAATCAATCAAGATAAGACTTTATTACGCATCAAAAGAGAGTTTTGTTAAGAGGTTAGGAAAATCTATCTCGAGTTTTTCAGTACAAGAGTTACCTGTAAGTTAAAGAACAGAGGGACACTAACTTCTACCTGGAGACAGTATTGTAATAGTTGTTTCTTAATCTTTTGTCTGTGTGTTTGTTGCAGAAGATTCTCCTTGTACTGGCATGTGTCCTCCTCCTGGCGTCCTTTAGCCAGGCTGATGGACACGGGGGAGGACATGGAGGTGGACATGGTGGAGGCTATGGAGGCGGGCACGGAGGGGGACACGGTGGAGGCTACGGTGCTGGTGGCCACGGAGGCGGCTATGGTGGTGGACACGGAGGCTATGGAGGAGTCGGTGGTACATCTAGCAACAATTATAACATTGCTGGTCCCAAGGGTGGATATGGTCATGGTGGTGGACATGGCGGTGGACACGGTGGCGGCTACGGTGGTGGACATGGTGGTGGCTACGGTGGTGGTCATGGCGGTGGACATGGTGGTGGCTACGGTGGTGGTCATGGCGGTGGACATGGTGGTGGCTACGGTGGTGGTCACGGTGGACACGGCGGCGGCGGTTATGGCCATAGGAAGTAGGTGTTTTATCTCAGTACAACCAAAAACCACGAAGGAGGAAAACTCGTCGATATTCAAGACTACCTGAAGCACCTCACTCTTCTAGACACGAGTGTGAGAATTCGTGTGTGTTGTAGAGACTCAAATATATATTTTCTTTTAATATAGCTCATGTTTTCATTTCCTATCTCTTTAAAACAACTTGTAAATAATACAGAGTGATCCTTATATGTTACGATCGGCCTGAGTGTTAAGTGACTTTTGGGATTGGTTTTCACACACACACATACACACACACACACATACACACACACACACACACACATACACACACACACACACACATACACACACACACAGAGAGAAACAAGACAGTCAGACAGACAGACCCTCTAGGCTAGTGTATTAAATGACTTACTGTACTGTACGTGAATAAAGACCTTAGTTGTTGAGTAAAATAATGATGACAACAACAGTGATGATGATGATGATGATTATGATGATGATAGTGGAGTAATGTGGTAAATGACTTTGCCATGAAAGAGGAGAGGAAAGAGAGAAGGAAAGAATATAAACGGGAAGTAATGTAGTTGGGTAGTAATAGCAGGTGGGCTGTCCACTTAGCTGAGTCCAGGTGATTGGTTGGGGTGATGGCCATTCACAGCAGACGCCCGCTCGCTCAGGGGAGGCAGGGAGGAGGGTGCTAAGTTAGCTAGGCATTCAATAGTATAATTTATGCACGTTAAATGGTGGTGTTATTTGTTTATGTGTATGAGGCTCTTGGGGCACCAGCTGTGTCCTCTTGTGGCTTCTTCTTTTAGCTGGGAGAAGATTGGGTTCTCTAACTCCTCAAGTTTGCTCCAAACTCTGTGAGCTTGGCTGTGTACGTGGTTCAATGGTTCGATATTGTATAGTTCATGAAGTTCTTGTATTTTGGTGGTTAATGGGAACAGTAATACATTGATGAAGGACTACATTAACACTTTGAAAAGGCAACAACAGTTTATTAATATTAATACGAAGTAAATAAATCAATGAACTAGGAACATCAGTATTAAAAGATTTTTTTAATAAATTAATGAAAATATCGATAAAACAGATAAATAAACTAACAACAACAAGAAATTAGACATACGCACCGAATAAGTGTTTATATGTGATCAATAACACATGTTCTATAATGTGTACAGGGAAATGAGTTTTTGTATCTAAGCTATATAGGGGTGGGTGGTGTGAGGTAGTGTGGGAGGGGTGGTGGTGTGAGGCAGTGGTGTGGGAGGGAAGTGGGGGTGAGGAGGGGGCGGGTGGTGTGAGGTAGTGGTGGAGGGAAGTGTGGGGGTGTAAGGAAGGGGTGGGTGGTGTGAGGTAGTGGTGGTGAGGGAAGTGTGGGGGTGTAGAAAAATTCACATTACTCATATTCTCTAATTAAGGCCAAAGACCATTTCTTTGACCTTTGACATAGAACTCACACACACACACACACACACACACACTTCCTTATCAACATGATCAATATATCCAAATGACCATTACCCATATTATCATATCTGGTCAAGCACCATGTCCAAAATTAAAGTCATCTGTGTCACTATAACAAGCATCATATTCAGCCATGATATAGTTACTGTGACCTTTAACGAGTCTTTAACTGTCTCCAAGAGTTGATTTTATCCCCATGTCCTTTAGTAATGCTAAAGATGGTAAGCTATATAACACTGCTGGTATGCCCATTTCAAGTAACGTAGTCTTTACCAAAACCGGCATTAACACCATGGCCATTTCCAATACAGAAATGACTACCATGTCCTACGTTGCTGGTACCATGCCCGTAGCCACTTCTGCGACACTTAAATATAATTATCAACCTCATATCCGTGAACCATATCCACCACCATGTCCAGTGTCACCGCCATATCCACTTTCTCTACCGTAGCCATTACCAAACTCATTATTACTATCACTATACCCATATCCAGTGCTATAGCTGCTACCATGTCCACCATCATACTCATATTCCGTACCGTAGCTGCTACCATATCCTGTATCCCAACCATTTCCTTTTACCTGACTATTTCCAATATCCCTGCCATAACCACCACCATGTCCAACACCACCGTAACCTTGACTATAACTACTGCCATGTCCAACACCGCTGGTTTCCTTACCATATCCACCACCATGTTCAATGCCCTCATGTCCCTGACCATAGCCACCACCATGTCCAAAACTTTCGTGACCGTGATTAGAGCCACTACCATATCCCTTACCATGTCCACTTGGTATTCCCTTCCAATAACCCCCACAACTATAACCATGAGGTATCCTGCCATGTGTCGACACGTGTCCCTTGATAGGAGCTGACCCATAACCACTACCATACCCATGATAATGTTCACGACCGTTACCATTGTGTTTGTAACCATTACTACAGCCGTGGTTGTGAGTGTCGTCATACTGGTTACCATACTTTTTACCATATCCTTTACTATAAGTACTACCATACTCACTACCATGATTTTCCCCATGTCTCTGGTTATAGTCGGTGACATACTCCCCATGGTGTGCAGAATGGTAGTTATTGACATTCTCAGTGGAATATCCTGCCAAGTCATTGTTCTCATGTCCACCGCCACCTTGTTTTGTGTAACCATTTCCTTGAGGTTTTGTGGGTGTTCCAGCGTGTCCACCTTGGCTATAGAGCTGGAAAAGCGTAGGGCCTTGACCGTATTTCTCTTCCTTCTTTCTGTACGCAATCACTTGTCCAGTTGTGAAGACATTAACAGACCCGATATTACTCTCAGAATCACCGTGATCAATGCTATGTTTTATTCCGTAGTCTCCGTGATTGCCTTTGTCATGTCCAGGTCTGATGTCGGTACGGTGTTCCCTTATGCGTATTCTTGGCCCAGTACGATATCCTTTCCATTTCGTGGGTCCAGCTTCAGGTTTCCCATGACCACCGGCACAGTTGACTTGATTCAGGTAACTTAGCAAGGCGATGGTTGATATTAACACGATGCAGATATTCTGAAACAAGAGTAAAGAAACGGATATGAGTTACTAAGTTTAAGCTGTAACTCAGATGAAAGAATAAATATGATAAGACAAGCGATGGTAAAATCAGATAATGTACGATCGTTGAAATACGTTTCAGGTCGTCACAGGTCATTGTAGGTCATCATACGTCATCACAAATCATCCTGAGCCATCATACATCATCAAAGGTCATCATAATTCATCACTGGTCACCGTAAAACTTCATAATTCGTCACAGGTCATCATAGATTCTCACAAGTAACCACGAGGTTCAGAAGTTGCACAATGGAGACATATTCGAGAAAAAGTAAGTTCATTTTTTTTGTTTTATAGGTAAAATTGAGTTTTGTTTCCAATATTAGTTATTACCCTTATGTGTGTAATCAGTGTGTGTGTTAAACACGTTAAATCTGTCTCTATACTCAAGGTTCTTAATCCGGGACATTAGGAACTTTGAGTGTAGACACAGATTAAAGCATGTGAATTTGCACTCCCTCGAGAGACGTAGAGTGAAGGGCGATATGATCGAGGTGTATAAATGGAAGTTAGGGTTAAACAAAGGTGATATAACAAAGGTACTCAACCTATCCAACTAGCAATAATTTTAAATTCTGCAAATTTCGATTTAGGAGCTAGATAGGTAAACATTGGTTTGGAAGTAGAGTAGTGGATGAGTGGAACAAATTACCAAACATCATCATTAACTCAAACACGCTGGGAAGATTCATATAGAGGTTGGATGGATATATGAGCGATAGGGGTTGGGTGTAAACGGGACTGCCTAGTATGGTCAATAAGCCCGTTGCAGTCTCCTCCATTCTTATGTTCTGATGTTGTTAATTACTCAAGCGTCTGCGCATACGTCGGTTCAAGGGTGTGACAGTGCGTTCATAAAGACTCATTCATGTACGTGAATGATTGTCCACGTTTGATTCACTTATAACTGAGAGAGAAAGTAACAATCTTTTTCCTAACATGTGACGTTAAGCTAAAAATCAGAGTGAAATTTGTTGCTTTTTTTCTTCGGTCACGGTCTTGTGGCTTGACGTCGAAAGCTCAACACTTTCAGACAATGAATTGTGAAAGTAGGTATGCTTTTTTATTCTCCATCTTCGGTGTTTTGACTGATGTAAATCGAAAACGTTGGCTACAGGTAAAGTGGTCCTCTTTTCTTGTTTGGCTTTAGTCCTCATATAAACGAAATATTCTTGGAAGTATCTCATGTACAACACACACACACACACACACACACACACACACACACACATGTCAGTGAGGATGAACACTGGGCTGATTAAACGTAACCGGAAATGATATATTCAGTATTTCCGAGATTAGTTGAAAAATCAAAAACATCAGTAAAGGTTTTGTCTTAATCTTGATAGAGTCAGATTTGAGACGGAGTTTGAAGGTTTACTACATCAACACAGGTTGGCTTAGAAGATATTTTATGTTACTAAGAGCTTGACAGTCTTACCATGGTGGACAAGGGTCGTCTCCGCAGGTGCTGGGGGTTCACTCTGCTGCCAAGAGCGTCACGATCTTTCTTATATGAGAGGAGGAGTTCCGCTCTATCACTGGCCAACTCGTCAGGTACTAATCTTTTCACTTGCAGCTCTTGTGGCTGATCTCACTTTCTGATTTTCTCTACCTGCGTGATTTTGTGTGTGTGTAGCCACACACAGGGTGGTGAAATGCATCTAGAGTGGCAGCTGCCACCGCTGGCAAGCCCTCGTGGGGAACAGGAATGCAACTTCCATAAGTCTTCTCTCTTTTTTTTTGGGGGGGGGCACCCCCCTACATCCTTGTGTAAGGTGAAGCACAGAAGCGTTTACAGCGCCCAACAGGGAAGCATGCTGTGTTCATGCTTGCCTTTATGTCTCATGAGTTAAGGGCGTAGAAGCCTGAAGAGTCTAGGGCGTAGAAGACTGAAGAGTCAATGGATTATGTCTAAGCAAGTTATTGGAAGCTCCAACAACTTTCCCTGAATACGAATTCGCAACTTTCGATTTACAGCAGGTACCTACTTTGCTGCTAGGTGAACAGGGACCAAGGGAGGCTGGGAAGTGTGTTCGAACAACTTTCCACCGGCCTGGGAATCGAACCAGTGACATTTCGCTTGCGAGGCAAGAGCGGTACCGCTCTACCCACCGGCTCTCTCTCTCTCTCTCTCTCTCTCTCTCTCTCTCTCTGTACGGATGGAATTCATGGCGAGTGAAGTCAGGTCAGGGGCCCTCTGACTTCTCTCACCCAGCGTTTCACTACCGTGAGTTACCAAGGCGTCACTTAAACAAAATAAATCGATAGACTAAGTTACTCTTCACAGCGGCGTATGAAAATAAGTCTACGAACTCATTTCCATCTTGTAAAGTTTCCCTTATCAAACTAAGTCGTGACTGAGCTCTCAAAAACGAGAACAAAACTGACGACAATTACTCAGAACGGCAGTGCGCGAGAAGGGGGGGGGGGGGCAGATAACTAAGACTTTCCGTTAAACTCGAGGGATAAATACGTTTTGTGTTTACATTTCACATAATTGTCTAACTTCTTTAATACAAGACTGACAACACTTTCTATGTTTCCATCGGATTCACTGATGTTCAAAATCAAAACAGAATGACTTCAATTACGAACGGCCGCCACGTAAAAACGAACGGTACTTAAGATTTACAGCTGGCAAACAGAGTACTCAACACATAATTTTTTTTTTATCCTCTTCACCACTGATCGGCTCGTTAGCCGCTTGGGCGATCGGTCACTTTTACTTTTATCCTCTTCGCCACTGATCGGCTTGTTAGCCGCTTGGGCGATCGGTCACGACTCTTTTCCTTTATATTCTTCACCAAAAGGTCGGCTCGCTAGCCGCCCGGGCGATCGGTCACGTCTCTGTCACGCACTGTTGGCAAATACTGGGCATGCACCGGCTCCTGAATGTACCTGAACCCGCTCCAGTGTTGGTCAAGTCTTCTCTTGAAAGAGCTCACACTCGGTGCCGTCACAACACTTTCTGGTAGATTGTTCCAAGAGTTTACAACCCTCACTCCGAAAAAGTTTGCCCTCACGGTTTTCCGGACTTGCGGCTTCTTCAATCTTGAGCTGTGACCCCTTGTGGGGCGAGCGTCCGCCAGCTCCAAGTAAGGACACTCAACTGAGTAGTGCCCCCTGAGATGCTTATAAACCTCAACTAGGTCCCCCCTTGCCCGTCTGTAGTATAAGCTAGGCAAGTTCAGGCGCTCCAATCTCGCAGGGTAGCTGAGATGCCGAAGTGCAGGCACCAGCTTGGTGGCCCTCCTTTGAACATTTTCAACCAACTGACAGTCCCTAGCATATCTCGGGGACCAGATGGGGTGACAGTACTCCAGATGGGGAAGCACTTCACTCCTGAAGATCGTCACGAGGGACGGACCGTCTAGATATCTGAACGACCTTCTTATAAGACCCAATAATTTATTTGCCTGATTTACCTTCTTCTCACAATGGCCCGAGAACTTCAGCTCATTGTCAACATACACACCTAGGTCCTTCTCACACACAGTCTCAACTAGTACATTTTCTTCATCCCGTTGGGACATATGGTACGCCTCCTTACCGTTGGTACGCCCCAGGTGCATCCTCTTACACTTCGTGACATTGAATCTCAGCAGCCATTCCTTCGACCATTCCTGGAGCCCACAGAGGTCCTTCTGCAGCTCTTCACAGTCCGCTTGGTTCTTAATTTCCCGAAATAACTTGGCGTCATCGGCAAACATTTGTATGGAGGAGTGTACAACGTCAGGCATATCATTTATGAAACAAACAAACAACAGCGGGCCCAATACACTACCCTGCGGTACCCCACTTGTTACAGGTACAGATGACGATTTCGTGCCATTAATCACCACACATTGCTTGCGGTCATGTAGAAAGTCTTCTATCCACGCTAGGACATTTCCCCGAATTCCGTACCCTTCCAGTTTGATTTTCAGCCTTTCGTGGGGTACACTGTCGAAAGCCTTGGCAAAATCTAGGTAAATATTGTCGATATTACCACCCCGTTCTAGAATATGGGTCCAAATATCCAATACCTTGAGCAATTGTGTCAAGCAAGAGCGCCCCGGCATAAAACCGTGTTGGCAATCTTTTACAAGGTTGTTTCGTAGTAGATGTTCCATCGCTGCATCTCTGATAATACTCTCAAGTACTTTACATATTATGCTGGTCAGGCTCACCGGTCTATAGTTGTTCGTGGAGTGCCTATCGCCCTTCTTGAAGATAGGACTCACATAAGCCACTTTCCATTCACTGGGGACCATTTGTTCATCCAGGCATTTACAAAACAGAATCTTCAGGGGCTCTGCAAGCTCGTTGCACAGCTCCCTTAGCACTCTAGGATGCACCATGTCAGGTCCAGGACTCTTATGGACCTTTAGCCTGGACAGTTTATTTCTAATACCCTCTTCTGTGAACACAATGTGGGTCAGTGCTGTGTCGAACCGTCTGTCCTCAAACGCAGGAAGGTTAGTTGCATCCTCTCTTGTGAACACTGAGGAAAAGAAGCTGTTCAATGCCTCAGCTTTATCCTGGTCAGAATCTGCGTAACTACCATCTTCAAGCCTCAGGTCTGATACTCCTACTCGCGTTTTCAATTTCGACTTTGCATAGCGGTAAAACGCCTTTGGGTTTGACTTGACCTCGCGTGCAACCAGCCTTTGGAACTCCTTTTCAGCCCTCCTACACTCTATCTTTGCTTGGTTTCTGGCTCTTGCATACATCCTCCTGTCTTGCTCATCGTTTGACCCAACCCACGTCTTGAATTTCTGGGTTTTCTTCTTAATTTTGTCGACCGCCGCATGGTTCATGTGTAGGGATCCCCTCGTATTCCTAGAAGCACTGGGTTTGGTCTTGGGTATATATTTATCGATCAAATGGGTCATTTTACTAGTTATGATATTCAGCGTAGTGTCTGCGTTCTTGTACCTTAATAAGTCAGGCCAGTTGATACCCCTCATCTCTTCCCTCATCCCATTGTAATTTCCCTTGTAATATTTGCACCTTGGCCTGGCCTTATCTTGAACTAGGTAACAGTTAAATCTGAATGACAACACTGTATGGTGACTGGTGCCAACTGGGGCAAGGTGTTCCAGTTTGGCCACCATACCCTCCTCGTTTGTTATGATGAGGTCAAGTGGCTTGGGTGTTTGCTCCCCTCTGTAATGTGTCGGGTCTCTCACATGTTGGAACAGAAAATTATCTCTCAGAGTTTCTACAAAAAGAGTAGCAGGATTATTCAAGTCATTCGGGGTTGACTCGTTTCTCCAGTCGATGTCGCCATAGTTAAAGTCCCCCATGATAAGGAGGTGGCTGGGGTTGAGCATCGCCGCATTGTTTATTAAGGTTCTTAAGTTCCTTTGATTTAGTGGGCCACAGTTCGGGGATCTGTAGATACACCCGACGATAAGTAAGTCCCCTCCCTTTAATTTAATTTTACACCACTTGGACTCTTCAAAGACATCCTCTCCCTGTACCCTCGCCTGGCTGGCTCTAAGGTCTTGCCTAGCGTAGATAACCACACCCCTCCTGCAGGATTCTTGAGTTAGGTTCGTAAATGAGTCATATCCAGCAATACTGAACTCACATTCCTCTGGGTCGATTCTCCTGTTCTTGTACAACAGTTCTACAACTCCTACAATATCTGGTTGGTGTACTCTTAGTAGTGTTTCAAACTCCTCCCTCTTATCAAGGAACGTGTCGGTATTAGTGTACATGACATTCAAGCCAGAATTTGTTCTCGGTAACGTCTCTGCTCTTAGTAATAAACCCGCTCCACCCACATTCTCAGAAGCTGCAGCATTTGCTAAGTACACTGTATTTTGCAGGGTGTGGTTAAAAATTTCATTGTTTACACGGCGCTCGTTCCCTCCTGTCCGGTAGGCTGAGCTGGTGCCGCCTCCCGGGTGGGGGGTTGAGTGGGTGGAGGGTGCACTGCTGCCCCCTGGCCCTGTGTCGGCACACTTGTTTCCACTACCCTCCCCCTGAGTATAACCCATGTGCACCTGTCCCCGTTCCTTCTCGACTCCTCCCTCTTCTGCTTCAAGTCCAGCAGGAGCTTCTTGTGCTGTTCCCTCTGCATTACCGTGCGGTCTGGGTGAATAAATACATCTCGAAATGCCTCGCTCCTTGCTAAGTTTTTTGCCTGCCGGATAACTTGCCATTTTTCCTCCTCACTCCCTAGTGTGATCCTGAGGGGGCGAGGCTTAACCCCCTGCTTTTGTCCCAGTCTCCTCACATCCTGAGGGGTTGCTGGAATCTTCAGAACCTCTGTGCAAATATTTTGAAACAGCACCTTGTCGTGTGTTTCCTTACTCACAGTTCCCTCTGCCTGGCTCTCTGGGACTCCAAAAACTATTACATTGTTCCTGCGCTGGAGCCGTTCCTGGTGTTCCTCCTCTCCCCTAACAGTAGGTCCGTTAATTTTCATTTCTTCGACACACTTTTTCAGAGTCCCAATCTGCTGTAGAACCTGTACTGA